TGTTAAACAGCACACCAAATCCAGAATGTAGGAAATTCCATGGGACAAATAACCCAGTTTATTCAACAAGTTGAAGGTGTAAATGGATGGTGAGACTTAAAGACTGAGGGAAGCTTAAAGAACTTGTTTGAATCCTAATTGAACAAAAAAACATTTTAGACTTTTTTTGAGACAAAAGTTTAAGATGGATTTGATAGCAGATATTAAAGAACTACTAATTTTGTTGGGTGAAATAATGGCATAGTAATTACGTTTGTTGTTTTTTAAAAGCCCTTATCCGAGGATCCCTGGGTAGCGCAGCGGTTTAGCGCCTGCCTTTGGCCCAGGGCGCGATCCTGGAGACCCGGGATCAAATCCCACGTCGGGCTCCCGGTGCATGGAGCCTGCTTCTCCCTCTGCCTGTGTCTCTGCCTCTCTCTCTCTCTCTGTGTGTGTGTGTGACTATCATAAATAAATAAAAATTAAAAAAAAAAAAGCCCTTATCCACTAGAGATACACACTAAAGTATTTGTAGTTGAAATTATGACTGGGATTTACCTAAAAATATTCTAGGAAAAAAAGGGGCAGGAAATAAAATGAGCAGAATGTTGTTATGTTGAAGCTAAGGGACAGAAACATAGGGGCTTATGTAGGGGTTTATTATTCTGTTTTACTATGCATGCTTAAGCATTTATATAATAGGAATTTAAGGATGGAAGAGAAAGGGAAAAGATTGGGGACTACCAGTAGAGACAACTTTTTTTTTTTTTTTTTAAAAGAAAGAGCGGACAAGTGGGTAATAGCTAGAGGGGGATCCTGATGAATAACCCAGCAGAGAGTGGGGGAAGATGGTGCCACAGGAGAGAATGGTTGGGGTGATATATTAGCAAAGCTAAGAGCAAGTAGGAACTCTTAGATACTATTGGTAGGACTGTAAATAGCATTACCCCTCGACAAGTAATTTATAATGGCAAAATTATAAATGCTACCTGACACAGCAGTTTGTTTGCAGTGTTCAATCTTACAAATACACCAGCACCAATGTGCAAAGATAAATACAAGATTTTCATTGCAACATTGTAATATTAAAAGTCTGGAGCTCAGGGCACCTGAGGGTTAAGTGTCTGCCTTCAGCTCAGGTCTTCATCTTGGGGTTCTGGGATCAAGCCCCAAATTTGGCTCCCTGCTCAGCAAGGAGTCTGCTTCTTCCTCTCCCTGTGCCCCTCCCCCTGCTCGTTGTCTCTTGTTTTCTCTCAAATACATAAATAAAATTTTAAAAAGAAATGTCTGGGGCCCAATATTTGATTAAATTCCAGTATATCCATATATCAGTATATTATATAGCCTTAAAAATGAGGTAAATCTCAATATATAGGTATCAAATCTTCACATTGTATACCTGAAATTTATTTATATGCCAATAATAATGAAGCCGAAAAACATAGGTACATCCATAGATAGGTCTATCAATGACAGTATGGAAAATTTTCAAAGTAATAAAAACAAAGATTTAAGAATAGTGTGTATATAATGTTACACACATAAATAAACATATGCACACATGAATAAATACATATAGAATAATATGTGGCTCTGAAATCATGTAAAGATGTACTTTCCTGCTCATATAAATGGACAGTTTGGGGAGGATAAATATGTACCCAAGTTGGTTGGCAGTGGTAAGCTTTGAAGAAGGACAAGTGTGTTTTGTATGTTCTCGTAATTTTAGATCCTTGTGCATTCGTTATGTTTTGGTAAAAATATATAAATAGAAAAAAACCTTAGTTAATAATAGTTAATACCAAATATTAGTTAATATTAGTTAATACCAAATAGGTAAGAAAATAACTAACAGGGCCTTATACACCAGTTGTGGTATTATCCCCCAGAATGGAGGCAGAGGGACAGGTGTTCAGAGTTTGGAAGGCTATAAGCCTCAGTAATTTAATTATCAAAAATTAAGCTATAAAGTCATAATTGGTCTGTCTCTGTTCTAAAATAGAAACACAGTCTCAACATGAAACTGCCCTCTTCATTTGTTTAATTTTGCTTAAACTTGTTGCAAGGGGCACCTGAATTAGAGTATCTCTGTATCTCTGTATTATGCTCCACATTTTTTTCTCTCTCCCCATCTCGTATGTACCACCATATCTCCTGCTATTTTAATGTTGAATTAGAAGTGATTAAAATGTATTTGTCTATTTTCTGGCTATAGCCTGGCTTTAGGATCACTTAATGAGATCAGCTCCCAGATTTAAAATTGAAAAACATTCTAAGCGAGTGTTTTTTTAAATGAATGGGTAAGGAATGTTATTACACTATATATTTTAATCCAAAAAAAAAATTCTGGGGGCGCCTGGGTGGCTCAGTGGGTTAAGCATCTGCCTTGGGCTCAGGTCATGACCCCAGAGTTCTGGGACTGAATCCTACCTTGGGCTCCCTGCTCAGCAGAGAGTCTGCTTCTCCCTCTCTTTCTGCCTCTCCCCCCTACTCACTCTCTCTCAAATAAATGAATAAAATCTTTTTAAAAAATTCTATATGTTCACTTAAGGCTTAAAAGATTTCTGTGACGTGCCCATTAATTGAAAATTTAGAATAACTCATGCCTTGGGTCACTTGGCTGACAGATGTGAAGGCTGAGAGTTCCAAGTCAGGTTTACCACATCTTATGACACTAGACACTTGTCATGGAGACAGGTATGGAGAGCTAAATGACCAGGCCTATTTTCTCCTTGGTGAGATCAGATGTGTTAGTCACAATGACCAAGGTAGAGAATAAGTGCCTCATAAACATGACTGCTATGTTCATCATGTTCATTATGACGTGCTGCTTAGTTTTATCTATGAATTTTTTATAATTGGAATGTACAGCAATGGAAGTAGCAAAACGTGAGGACCAGGATGCCAGACACAAATGACTGGTATTTCACCTTCCCGTGCCAAGCAGCTTGCTATCTGTCTGCTGATCTGTGAAAACCCCAGCAAATCTTGAACACGTATCACTTCAAGACTTGAAAAAGCTTCTCTCTGTGCAGTGGGTGGGGCATCAGAGTTAGGGGACCTAGAGGGTCAAAGATGGTGGAGGAGGGAGGCCTGGAGCTACCTGCAGGAGACCACTGATGGACAGCTGTCCGGTCTCTATGTGGCCCTCTTCAATAGCAAAGTTTTCAGTGATGATCTTAAGGGTGAAGCATCTCCTCTTCGCTTCTGAATGACCTCTCAGCTTCATGCGGCCAGGCACGGGAGATGTGAGCAGCTGACGCATCCTCCTTGGCAGCCAAAGAGATACTGCACTCAGAGCAACGAGGATCAAATTTGTGTGTCTGAGTCATCAAGGCTGCTTGTTACAAACGCAGAGCTGAGGCATTACACCCAAGAAAGTCTGGTTCTGTAGATTTGTGGGCAGGACCTGGGAATCTACATTTTCAGCACCCCGCCCCCCCCCCCCACACCTTCCCCTCAACCCATCTCTTCACTACATCTGACGCAGACATATCCATTGTTTGTTTGTTTCATCAGGTAGTTACTTGGGTTGGACTCAAACTGCAAACGCTATGTCTTGGTGGCAGCTGAGGTCTCAGTTCAATTATTTTATCCTTAGCTGTAGTCTGCCAGAAATTGGGGCAGAGATTATATTCAGACTCTGAGGCGCCTCTGTCTGGCTCCCTCCGTTCCAGGACTCTCCCTTCATTTTGCTGTGGCTGTGCTTGCCCTGAACTCTGTCCTCTGGATCTTGAAGCCAGAAAGACTGGTTTTCCACCAGAGTTCTGGGCCCCTCCCTACCTTGTGGCCCTGAGTGATGGCCTTCTTGAAAGAAAGCTAAGAGTCGTGAAAAAGCTGTTCTCCACTCCTAGTATCAAGTCCTTTCCTAAATCTGCTTGCTTTTGTTCATTCTCCAGGCTTTCATGTGGTATTTCCTTTATACTGTCCAGTGGGCGTTTGCTCTTAGCAGGTGCGCTGCTCCCCAATAAGACCTTCCCCAGCTGTACTGGCAGCAGGGGTCCCGTTTTCCAGGGTTCTTTTGTACAAGTTTGAGACTTGGCTAGGTGGAGGCCTGTTGTGCTGTAAGACACACATATTATTTCTGTACTTCTTTACTTACCATCCGCCTGTTGTGGCCACATCTAGCAATCTGTGGATGTTTCACTTTACTGGAAAAATAGAAGAATTAGCCAAGGCAGGAAAAGTGGTATGGTATTTGCACTGTTTTTAGAGAAGAGGCCCCACACTTAGCTGAGGTGAAAACCAAATATAGTTTGCAGTCAATATCCCCTCTGGAAACCACCGTTTCTGTCTTATCTCTCTAAAGCTGCTTTTTCTTTTTTCTTTTTTTTTTTTTTTTTGGCGCATCTATCTTTAGCTTTGACTGGCCTCATAGGCCTTGCTTACCCTGCCCACCAATGGCTCCAGGAACTTGCAACATTTCCCTGGTGCACTGTTTTTGGGCCCTCTGCCCTCTCTGGAATTTATTTCTCGTATTTATGGTTGGAGCCGTGCTGGTTCATTGTAATCTAATAGCCCCAGTGCTGTAAATTTTTACTAAGCCAACAAAAAGCAAAAATGGTTAAATGCTTGAGAAATGCCAAATCCTCATAAATCAGGAAGGTTCCAACAATTTCAGTTGGTAAAGTACTGCAATACTCTGCATTACTCAGAATCCCAGGGCATCAACTATAGGATAATATGAGTGAAGTCTGATTAGTCTGGAAATCAACAAAAATCTTGAGGTCTGGATGCTTTTCAACCTCTGCATTGCTGAGGGAAACTATTCATGGTTCCCTAAAACTAACCCATAAAAACTCTAAAAGGTGATGTTCCTGACACATTCCCTCCATGTCTACTGTGCTGATAACAAAGGAATTTGAAAATAATGATCTGAACTAATAAGGGGTTTATTTACTACGCTGGCACTGAGGAAGCAGGTCAGGAATTCTGATAGTCACTGTCCTGTGATGTGTGAATTGGTGCTCTGACATCTACCTCATCATTCATCTTTGGCCTGTGGGAACAGGAGCCAACCATGAAGTCAGGTGTCACACACATACCATTCCTCCACTATTGGAGATACTGCTGAGAACCCAAGAGGAGAAACAAGGCCTGAGCACTCAAAACAGCCCCCACTGAGCCTTGCATGCAAAGCCCTGGATATGGGAAGATGCAGAGACCGTCTCTCAACATTCAAGCAGCTGGCATTCTCACCACAGTTCCCAGTTGCTCTTTTTAATCTGCCAGGTGGCTTAGAAATGGATGTCAAAGCAAGAGTTTCCTGCTTCTTGGGAGACACTGAGCAGCAACAAATAAGCTGGTACTTATTTCATCCTTACTACCTGTTCTGTGTATCTCAGGAGGGCTTGGGTTTCATCCTAAGGACAACATGCAGGTGTGGAAGTGTATATAAGGGGCGGGGTGGAGTTACACATAAAAGGTATCTCCAAAAACCATTCCCATTTTATGAAGGAGGAAAATGGGGGGAAAAAAAAACCTCAGAGGGGTCAAGTGACTTGCCCAAAATCACACAGCTAGTGAATGGTCAGCCGGGATGCTGGAATCAAAATAGTGTCAGCCCCCTTAGAGTTCTTTTCATTCAAAGTCTTCCTTCTGCAAAGTTTGCCAAATAATTAATAGTGTAGGATTGGTCTGCCATGGTGTAGAGTGGGCAGGATCTTTATAGAAAATTATGGGCATGACAAAGGTAGATAACTTGGTTGTCTAGCAGAGTTTTGATCTAGATCTCACAAAGCTGCCAGGACCTTAGCAAGGCAGAAATAGTCTTTTTCAGAATGATTACAAGTTGCTATATGATAGAAGGTGCTCTAATAAATGTAACAGTACAGGCCAACACTGTATTCAATATCTCAGAGACTTCAGTGGAGAAAATGAGTGAGGGTGGGCTCTTCCCTGGGAGGTCATGGCTCCTTGGGAGCCTCTTGCTTCTTTGTGTACTTTCGGCAGTTATGCTGTAAGGTAAATGCATCTGTTGCAAAGAGAGGAACTGGAGCTGGCCTGGGTGGGGGGATCAGGAAAGTTGAAGGAGGCAAGGCATTTGAACTGAAATGTCAAGAACCTGGTGTTTTAATACTACTCATCTTTCGTAAGAACAAACATTTATGGAACACTAATTAGGTGCTACAAGCTTTGGAACATAATTTAACCCTGGTAACAGTTCTGTGGGAAGGTATACTTGTTGCTTGTTGGAGCAGATGCTATTGGTGACCTGCCCCTGGAGTCTTGGCTGGACTAGCTGCTAATGGCATTGGTGACAGTGGTTCATACTGACCTTTTTCTTGAGGACTGCTCTTGAGTGGCAGAAGAAGCCTTACCTGGAGTTGTAAATTGGATGGCAAAGCCAAGGAAACCTGTGGACAAAGGGAGAAAACAGGAAAAACAACTGGTGAGAAATATGAATGTTGGATTTTCCAGATCTATCTTCCATCTAATTGACATTACAGAAAGAGAGACTTTTTAACAATTTTATCTTAATAGAAAAAAAAAAATTTTATCTTATTAGGAAAAAAAGTTCATTTTTAAAGGACTTTAAAAATATATTTTATTTATTTGAGAGAGAGAACATGAGTGGTGGGGAGGGGCAGAGGGAGAGGGAGCAGGGAGCCCGATGTAGGACTTGATCCCAGGACCCTGAGATCATGACCTGAGCCAAAGGCAGACACTTAACCAACTGAGCCATACAGATTCCCCAAAAATAGTGCTCAAATTTTTTTATGTAAATTTCCTTGAGGTGCCCTCAGGTGGCAAGAAGCAATAGTGGGGGAAAATCGCATGTAGACACCACCTAGTGAAATTTCAAACTCTTAAAGATACCAAGGATCCTTGGCTAAGGATAAAGAGAAAATCCTACAAGTTTCCAGAGGGAGATAATACAGTTTCAACAGTCAGACCTGGTGCCCAATTGTTCATCTTCAAAGTGTGAGCTATCTATAAAATTCTGAAGGAAATTGATTTTGAACCTAGAATTCTACACCCAGTTTATGATCCTTAAGAGTGAAAGCAAAATAATAATGCTCTTGGACATGCAGAAAAGACTGGATGTATAATTTGTGGAGCTCAGGGCAATATGAAAATGTGGAGTCCCTAATTTAAAAATACACTAAGAATTTTAGGATAGCATCAATGGCAGAAGAGTCAGAGTCGTTGTGATGCAATGAGAGTAAGACTTGACCAGCCATTGCTGGCTTTGAAGATGAAAGGGGACCCAAGGCAAGGAATGCAGGCAGCTTTGAGAAGCTGGGAATGGCAAAGAAATGGATTCTCACCTAGAGCAGCTGAAGGAACACCTTGATTTTTGCCCAGTGAGATCCGTTTTGGACATAGGACCTCCAGAACTGTAAGATAACAAATCTGTGGTATATTAAACCACTGACTTTATGGTAATTTGTTATAGCAGCCATAGGAAATTATTTTACCCTCAGTTAAAATGACAGACTCTCAAATAATATAAAATCAAAACCAAGATAAAAAAAAAAACACTCTTAATACAACGGGGTTTAAATTCAGTCACCTGCATTTTACAAGAAAAAAACAAAACTGAGCAAATTGTGAATCCTAATTCATTCATTCAAAAGTATGTGTTGTGCATTTATGTGTGCCAGGCAGTGAGCTAAATAAAAGTGAACAGAATGGAGGAATTCTTTGCCTTCATGACATTTACAGCTGGGGAAGGGAGCAGTTTAAAAGGCATATATTTGGGGACACCTGAGTGGCTCAGTGGTTGAACATCTGCCTTCAGCTCAGGAGGTGATCCTGGGGTCCTGGGATCAAGTCCCACATTGGGTTCCCTGCAGGGAGCCTGCTTCTCCCTCTGCCTGTGTCTTTGCCTCTCTCTCTGTGTCTCTCATGAATAAATAAATAAAATCATTTTTTAAAAGGCATATATTTGGATATATGTAAATAATCACAACTCCCAGGAGGGCTGTGATACACAGCATGCTGAGATTGAAACGGTGGCTTGTGTCTGGGCACATGTTGAAGAGAGGAGTGGTGGTAGGAAGTGGCCTCATTTCTCAGAAAAGGTTGAGGTGACCATGGAAGGTGCCACTTGGAGCATGTGCTTTGGGGAAAGACAGACTAATTGCCCCAGGAGCCACCCCTCCAAATCCAGCTCTGCATTCTCCTCGAGGCCACACTCATCCCAGCCAGTGGCAGAGGCAGCCCCAGCCAGTGACCAACCCTGGGGGCACTCAGGAGCCAGGCATCCCTGCCTGACATGGGTCTCCCTCAGTGGTCACTCCCCAGCCACTGCCAGAAACTGTCCTGGAGCTGCACTCCTGTCTGTGATCTTCCTGCCTAATTTCTTTCTTCCTCCTTTCCTTTCACACAGCCCAGCCCACCCTGTCTCTTCCAGGTCTCTCCCTTCTGTAGGCATTTTCCTCAGCAAATGCCTTGCACGCCTACAGCTGTTTGACATGCTTATTATCTCACAGCTTGTGGATTGGGAACCCAGGCATGGTGTCATTGGTTCTCTGCCTTGGGATCTTTCCCAAGGCTGCCATCATGGTGGCCAGGGTGGGGCTTTCATCTGAAGGCTTGAGCGGGGATGGATCAGCTTTCCCAGCTCACAGGATTACTGGGGAGAGGATTCAGTTCCATAGAGCCTGATGGGTGGAGAGCCTCGATTCTTCACTGCTTGTCAGCCAAAGCCACCCTCAGTTCTTTACCATGTAACCTCCCCAGTGTGGTCCGTCCCTTCATCAAATTTTATAAGCTAAGAAGGCAATCAAATCTGCTAGCAAGTCAGAAGTTATTATCTCATGTACTATAATCACAACAGTGACATCTCATCAGCTTTTCCAGGTTCTATTGGGGTTAGAAGAAGTCACATGTCTCATTCACACTCAAGGAAGGAGGTCACACAAAGGCAGTGGAGTTTGCTGGGACAACTTTGAGAGGGCTTGCTCCGCGTTCATTCACAATTCAGGGTCTGTTGGATCCTGGAGACTTGGTGAAACACTTGGTCTACAAAAAGCCTTGCCTGTGCTCCCTGAAGTTGACAGAGTAAATGTGTTGCCCGAAAATATCAATACGTGGTTTCAAATGCAATCATATAGTCACTATTTGTTGAACGGACATATCAATTTGCTGCAAATGAAAGCAGTTTTGAGAAAACAGAGTCTGGCACCACTAATAGGTTGTTTTAAATTTGCATTATATAACTGATTTGGCAGTTTTGTGTATTAAAAGGTCAAAATTTCAAGCCATGTGACATTAAAATTAAAAAAAAAGGGCTTAAACATTGAGGAATAAAATTTTCCACAGCATACCCTTGTGCTTGCCTTTCACATCTGGAGCATTGTTAGTCCTGCCCTTCACAGCCATTTACATTTGAATCACGTTTCTCTCCAAGAAACTCGAACAAATATAGCACTTCCTTTTAAATGTCCTTTACTCAGGGAGAAACATATTTTGGGATATGTACTTACTTTTCCACAACAATAGTGCCATCAATTTTAAAGCACTGTGTGCAAGGGGTAGTGGCTGCATCAGGTTAAGCCTGTCAGTTGATGCCTTTTAGATGATTTCTGAGAATTGATTCATTAACACTGTCGCTGTTCTGTTTTTGGCACAAGAATCAGGCCAGTGCTCACCCTGTGAAGCCATGTCGGAGGCTCAGAAAGTCAGGGATTCGGGATCCCTGGGTGGCGCAGCGGTTTGGCGCCTGCCTTTGGCCCAGGGCGCGATCCTGGAGACCCGGGATCGAATCCCACGTCGGGCTCCCGGTGCATGGAGCCTGCTTCTCCCTCTGCCTGTGTCTCTGCCTCTCTCTCTCTCTCTCTGTGACTATCATAAATAAATAAAAATTAAAAAAAAAAAAAAAGAAAGTCAGGGATTCATGTTCCAGCACTACCATATGAGCTGAGTGGCCCTGCAAGTCACCCTCCCTGTCTGTTTCACAGTTCTCTTGTTTGTGGAATGAGAGGTTCAGATGAAAAACCTCTTACCCATCCATTCAGGGGTCTATCACTCCACTGTGAGCTCTCAGGGGTGACCATGATCGGGTGCTGTGGTGCTCCCCGCAGACCCTCTTCACTGGGCTGATGCAACCACTCCCGAACATTGACTGACAAAGGGGTGCAAAAAGCCTGCCCCGGATGAGCACTGGGTGTTATTCTGTATGTTGGCAAATTGAACACCAATAAAAAATAAATTTATTATTTAAAAAGAAAAAAAAGCCTGCTCCTCACCTCCATGTGGGACTGAGCCTTGTGGTACAATTCATGCTCTGAGTTCCCCGTGGGAACTGATCCTTCCTCACCTCCTTCCCTCACTCTGTCTGCTTTCCTCTCTCCTCCT